TCTCTGTCCATCCATTCAGAGGTGGGTCCCATTTGCTCTTTGGTTTCCAGCTTCCTCAGAGCCAGGGCTTGTGTGTCCTTATGAAACTGATAAATGTATTTAACAGATATTGAGTTTTCCACCTGTTACTGTTACTTACAGAAAACAAAACAGATTTCCCCATTCTAGTCCTGAACTCGCTGGGGAATGACACCAGCAGGTTGCACAGTATTTCCAAAGGGTCTTTTTGGGTTTAAAATGATGGAGCCTGGCAGCACAAGTGTCTTCTAAGACTGCTGTCCTGTGAAGGAGCTTGTAGTTCTTTCAAAATTTTGCCTTGATAAAATCCTTTAAAGGAAATGAATCTTTTAGGAATTCTTCCATTAAACTCGTAGCATGTGAGAGCTTGACACAATGACACTCAACATACTGACCAGTCTTACACTAAAATAAATAAATAGTTAATTGAATATGGTTCAATCCAGAGCTGTAGCAAAGTAAATTTAGGATTGAGAAGCAATGTATTTAAAATTGCAGGATGTGCACAAGGTTTGCTTCTAGGCTCTCTTGATCATTAATTAAATATGTTATGGCTTTCAGTTTTTCTCATTTATCTGTGCAGGTTTACATATTGTAAATGCATTATTTATGTTTTCCCTTAAGTGCTCAGCACTGCCAGGATGTTTCTTTTAAACTGGCACAGATAGCAAAAAAGACAAAATGAGAGAGCAAATTTGGCACTGGTGAAATGCTCAGAGAGCTGCTCGTGTTCAAATGAGCCTTTCCCAGATGTATTTTAATAAACTTGAACTGACAAATAGAGGGCCAGACAGGCAGATGGCATCCATGTTTAAACTATGAATGTTTTGGGCTTTTTTTTTTCATTAAGGTAAGTTTGGTTGGTTTATTTATTTTTTTCCTTTTAATCTCATCCTAATAATGCCTTATCACTAAGCCTTGCTGCTTTTTTTCTGGAAAGCTCCCAGGATGAAGGGGGATGCTCACTGTGAGTGAAGCCAGCTCTGAAATGGATTTTGTTGGTGTAGCTAAAACACAGTTTGGAATCAACCATTTGAACAGAGGGAATTGTCACCACTGGTGTGTCCTGCACGTTGCCCCTGTTGTTGTTTTTTTTTTCCTTTCAGAGTAAACTGAGTGTCAGGCAGGTGGCTGAATCAAAAATTAAAATAGTGTTCTCACATTCACATGAAAGCTGTTTGTTTTGAAGAAAACTGATGGTTTTCTTCTGTTGGTTGCACTCCCAGATATGGAGGAGCAGTTGGATGTTAAGATGTGGTCATTTTCTTATTCACTTACTCTTTGCCTCTCTATTGTATTCTTCATAATTCTCATTAATTCTTCATGTTCATAAACACTTCTTTCCCATCTTAAATATAATTTTTCTGGTGTCTGAGATGTTAGGTATTTTATGTTTCAAATTACAGTAGCAAATAGCTACTAACTAACCACACAATTAACTATCTGCTTAAATAGTCAGTAACTACAACCCTTGTTCTACTCTATTTGTATTTGATACACTTTTTTTCCTGTTATCTCAGAGGTTTCACCTTTCTTGCATTCCAAACCTCCCCCCTCCATCCCCCCACCAGAGGTTAAAATCTCTAACACAGAAAACCTAAATAGTAAAAAAGGACTCTGAACAAAACAACCCAAACACATTTCTTACTTTAACTACACGATCACTGTAGGTCCCTTCCAACTGAAATATTCCATTCTGTTTCTTTTTAATCGAGGTGAAGAGGTTCATGGGGAATTCAGATCTGAAATTAACTCTTGAGGCTTATGCAAGCACACTTACAGTGGGGGCTAATATAACCTTAAAGTGACTCATAAATGGTGCAAAGTCGTGAACTCTGAAAAGTGGAATCGTTAGTCTGCAAGTGACAGTCACTTCAGCTGCACTTAAATTAACTCCTTAGGGGAATTGTAATTAGACCTATGCTGAATTCCTTTACTTTTTATTCCCTGCTGGGAACTTCACAGAGCATTTGTTTCTGTTAGGTTTGTATTTTCATACAGGGAAACTGTTGTAGAACTTCTGCTATACAGGTAGAAGGTTAAGCCTGTAATGTTCTTTTTTAGGACTCCTTCTGTGATGCAAACCAGGCAGTTTTATTTTGTTTGTAGTAACCTAACTTTGACTAAGAATTTGTCATTTTTATTATCACTACAGTGTAAAAATATCTGATACAAATGGGTATTGGTTGGTGGTTTAACTGTTTCTAAGCACAAATAGTGATAAATGTGTCCTAAACCTTTGAAGATATCCTCAGAAACACTGAATCTGATTTCATGTTTTATGGATTGTTTGCCATCTACACTAATGACAGAACTGACAGTGATGACACTTTCAAGGTTAATTATGCTCCCTAATGATTCTAAAATTATTCTAAAATTATTTTTTAAAAAAACAAAGCAAAACCAGACACAAAAAACCTTCTCTCCACCCGGACAAATCAACACCCATGTGCCTTCCTGGGCAAAGCTTTGAAAGTTTGGGTCCAGAGGTCCTGGTGACGACTGACTTAGACACCAGGGAGCTGGAGAGCAGGCTGGGAACTGCGTGTTTCAGGGCTCCTGCTCTTCCCAGAGCTCTTCCTGGAGGATCCTCTTCCTTCTGGCAAAGTTGGGATGTCCCAAATTGTGCTGCCACTGCTCTGTGTCTGCTGTCACAGGGAGTGAGGTCCCTGTGCTCAGCCAGCAGCAGCATGGGAAAATAAAAAATAAAAAAGCTGTGGAATCAAATAATCTTTAGAGTGACTTTTACACCAGATTAGAACAGGATGTTTCTGTAGGAAAGTGTTTTATCACTTACTTGAAGCTCCTGTATCTTTATTCCTGAGCTGTGCTGTGAATGTGTCACGATATTGACAAACAGACTTGTGACAGAACACGAGAGGAGGAAAGAATCTTCCTGAACTGGACTTTGCAATGGGGTGTTTAAAATCTAAACAGGATTCTTTTCTACTTCAGTTTTGTTGTGGGTTCTGGTGTTAATTTCGTTTTGACCTTTGTAAATTGAAAATATAAGTGGGAAGAATATTTTTTTTTTTGCAGTAATGATTCTGTGTTGATGCACAGGACAATATTGTGTTTAGATAAATGGCTGCATTTCCAATGTTTACTGTGTAAGATAGGTAGGCTTAGCAGCTTTGTTGTGGCAAGAATGTTATGCTTTCAAAGTTATTTTGGCTTTTCTTTTTCTTTTTTCCCCCTTGTAGAGTTCAAAACAACAGATGAGTTGTGAAAGAGAACAGCTAAGGGTAAGTGCAATGATATGTTCTGTTTCTTTAAAACATAAGCAGAATCTAGTCTGTGCTATTGACAGATGGATTATGTAAGAGTAACATATTTAGTTCATTTGTTGCTTGTTGGTAAACATTGTACATCTTTCAGTACAAAGGAGCTAGATAGATCCAGGGTTTTTTTTTCTATAATGGGTGAGATTTGGCAGTAAATGTCTCTTCATGGGACCCCTGCCACTCAGTGAGCTCCTCCCGTGCTCCACATGCAGCTTTAGCAGTGCCAGAGGTCACTGTGCTCCCCAGACCTGCTCCACTCTGAGGCTGTTTCCTACAAGAAGATGTTATCCTGTGGGTTTTTATAGTCTGTGTATTTCCAGAGAGGAATCAGTGGCAGGAGCTGGTTATTTTAGTGTGGCTGTTGGTTGTGTACAGTCTGGAAGGAGATGGAGTTCCTGAGCCCAGGCTGCTGACCTCTCTTGTGTTCCCCTTTTTCTGTATTAGAGTCACCATGTTAAACAGCTTTTAGTCTCTGCTCCCTTTAAATGCTGCAGATCCCTGAAGAAGCTTTTCCATTGCAATATTTCTTGATTGATCCTAGTATTTGTTTGGGAAAGCATAAGAGCCTTCATTAACTAAAAGAAGAAACCAAAACCACGAAAACCCAACCAACCAAAAGCTTTTTGGTCATCTGACTGTTGCTTAATAGACCTACATTTATTGATAGCTCATGGTGACTATTTACTTGAAATTCCACATGCAGGTAGAGAGGGAAAGGCAGGACTGAAGGAAGGCTAAGTTTCTATACAAACAAAAATATTGTTGGAAATAGAAAAAGCAGGTTTCTCTTTGTTTGTTTGCTGTTTATTAAGCATCAGCAGGGCCTGCATGACTTGAAAGTATAAAGAATATACTTGTCTTAAAGTACATTGTGCAGTGTTCTTCTGCATCCAGCCATTCTTTAGATTAACTCCATCAACATATCTAGATGGTTCAGCTGGTCCTCACCACACTTGTAATGGGGTTTTTGGTAAACAAGTTATGCAAGAACAATGCATCACAAATTGTCCTCGATTCTTTTCTTGCTGACATGTGACTGCATTGCATTGTGCTGGAGCTGGAGTGACAAAGCTTTGTTTTATCAGTAGTCATGTCTCAACAGAGCAGCTGTCAAAGCTAAAATATTGCAATAGTACCTGAAGGACAAGCTTTTCAAGAGGTAGAAGTGCCTTGAGAATAAAGAAAGTTTTCATTTCTTTTTCTTGTTTTTATTTTCTCCCTTAAATGAAGGAAGACAATGCTTTTAAATATAATGTGATGGGGCTGCCAGCTCTTTCTTCAAGTAAATTTGGGTACTTTTTTAAAGCTGTGGATAAAATGTGGTGCAGTGAAACTTTTATGTATCTTTCTATTCCAGTATTACACATTTATGTCTAACAATGAGCTCAGTGCTTAGGATGCCTCTGTGCCATAGCAAAACGTGACACCTGAGGACAAAACCATGTCTGTAACCCACTGGATTTAGGTCCATCCTCTTCCACAGCTCCTGTCAGGCTCCTGTTACACTAAACACAGTTTCTGGTGTAAACTCTGCTCCTGTCCCTGAGCTCCCCATGGCTTTCACAGCAAATTTAAATGCACTGTGTGGACATGTTGCACTTTGAACACTAGGAGGGTGGCACTTGACCATTCTGCCACTTTTAGGTTGGCTCCCTAACTGAGCAGTGCTGTTAAAGAAATGTTTCATTGGCTGGAGCAGGTTTGGCAGATCTGCAGTGTTTTCTTTCGGGGTCTGTGACCTGCCCTGGAGGTGAGGCAGTCTCCTCACAAAAAACCAGTGCTTCGTCCCAGCTGAAAGAACTGAAATAGAACAAGGAAACAGGATTAAAACAACAAAATGCCAACATCCTGTTGTTTGTTAATCCAAATAAACCAGATTATTGTTAGATCATCTAATAATACAATAAAAAAGATACAATATCTCCCTCTTCCTTGCTAAGATGAAAATGTTGCCACTCTGCTTTTTTGATTCTCTAGTAATTCTCCTTAGTCTAAGAATCAAAAAAAAGTTTCAAAAGAAAAGCTTGTTAAAAGCATAATAGTCTAAATAAATGATTAGTGATTGTGATACCTTGAGAGGCTGCCTAGGACAGAGGCTGGACAGTGTTAAAGGAATAAAGGGGGTATTTATTAAAAGGCCTTCAAAGGATACATCTGGGGAAGTGCAAGAGCCTGGCCCAAGCTACACCCAGGATGGACCCTGGCTAACAAGTTCTCACATTTTTATAAGTTTTGGTTCATTTACACACTGGGGTAATTGTCCAATTACAGCTTCAGGTGATGAAGTCTCATCCTCCCAAATTTCTCTCCTCAATTCACTGCTGTTTCTACTTTTTTTGGGCCCAAAGCTGCAAGGCTGTCCTTGGCTCTGGGGCTGGAAAAGGATTGTTGTGTCTGACCACCCTGTGAGGAGAACTTGCTAACACTTGATATGAAGTTCAGAGTCACACACTAAGGCAGTGCAGAATCTGCTAAACATGAAAGCTAAAACTTAAGGCATCAATTGTGTGGCTGTAGAAAGAAATATCCAAGCCTGACTAAAATCATTTCTTCAGACATTTCTCACCTCTTTTCTGTTTCACTGCCCTGTAAATTCTAAATGCAAAGCAGCGCATCACTGTTCTGGAATAAAACATTTAGAGTAATGAAACTCCTTCATATTAGAGCCTCTGGCCATTATACATTATATTTACAATAATGATAATCCTAATAATTAAGGAAGCCTGTGCATTTTAACCATTTTCTAGTCACTATTTGAACTTTACAACAACCACAAGTGTGTAACTTATTTGCCCTGCTGAGCTGGTACAGTCTCTAGGTAGATGTTAATGTCTTTACCTGAATTATTTAAATGAGAAATTATACAAAAAACTATGGGAATTCTAGCAAGGCTGGTTGGGGTTTGTTTATTCCATTTGAAAATATAACATAACTTAACTTTGGTGAATTTCCATTTTATTTTTGAAAAATAAGGCACCAATGCCATTTCTCAAGTTTTACTTTCTCTTGGCAGTGATTTTCATTACAGCCTACTGCCTTGAATAATAATTATTTTCATGTTCCTTAATGTCCTTTTGCTTTCTAATCTGGTGTCACTTAAATCAAGTTATACTAAAAAAAAAAAAAAACACAACAACAGTGTGTTTTTAAAGGCAAATTGACTCATCAGTATTTCTCTCCCCACCTTCCTCCACACACTGCACTTCATCAGTATTTCCTTTAAAGAAAATAATCATGTTCTTTACTCCCCTTCCTCGTGTTTGGTGTTCCCCAGTCCTGGTTAATAAATCTCTTTTTGGACAGTCACACCCTCTCCTCCTCTCTGCCTCTCTCCTGCTGTCCCTTGCTGCTCACCAGTGGCTGTGTGTGGTTGGCATTCTGATGCATTAAAAATGACCTGTAAAGACACAGAACTCACAGCTTGCTCAAAATAATTTAAAAGGGCATTTCTGCTTATATTTCAGTCTGAAAAACAAACTTTGAGACATGTGTGGTCCAGATTTTTTTAAGGCCATGAAGAAAATTGGGATACAAGCCCTAAGCAGGGATTGTTTGGAGTACATAAAGTTATAAATAAGGGCAGTGGCAGCTCAGAAGTTTGTCTGCTGCTCCCACCAAACCTTCCCTACTGCTCTGACTTCAACCTGCCATGGAACTTCTTTATCACAGCCTAAGGACATGACTTAAATGTACAGGCTGGCTTAAAGCTTACTGAGCTTTACCCAACCTTGGAGTCATAATTTATCATTTGGCATGATGAATTCAGCATACCTGTTTAAAATGAGCTCCCGTGTCTGCAGTGACAGGAGTTGTGCTGTAGCAGCCAGTCCTGACGCAGCAACACCAGATGAGCACTCCAAGGTGGGCAGAGAGCAATTTTAGACTCTAATGTTGGGAGCCTTTATAAATGTTCCTGTGAATACCAATGAGGTCTAATGGTAAATGGTGTGATTAGCTTCCTTGAGCTGAAATTTTAAGTGAGCCAGTTGTTGCTCTAATTAACAGCCTCTTTCACATGTGCTTATTATCAAGATGCATTATATGCAGCCAGAGTTCCTTCTCTGGTCTGAAGCAGCAAAAAATGTATCAAAGTTATGCCAGGTAGAGAGGAAACAAAAGCAAATGCATTGATTTAAAAGCAAATTATACCCAGAATAATTTTTCAGCAACACTGATCCTACAGTATTTAGCTTTATTTTTGTCTTTATTCAGTACTTTAATTTATAAGGTTTGAAATGCGATCAGCTATATTGATGAGGGCACTTGAACACTTTTTTAAAGAAACTTTTTGAAGCTCCTTGTTGTGGCATTAGCTTTCTCCAGTGATTAAGAATAATCCACTGACACTTTTATGTCCAGTGAGGCACCAGGGAGTTACGCTGTGATTCAGTGATAGACATGAGGCACCAGGGAGTTACGCTGTGATTCAGTGATAGACACCAATTCCTTAATTGGTTTTATGCTGAGCAAAAGCAAACAAATAACTGGAGAGAAGAAGAGAATCCGAGTGGAAGGGATTTGTTAAGTAGACATTATTCTTGACGTTTTGTGAAATGACTCAGGGTGATAGGGCAGAACATTCTTGGTTCCTGGCCAAGATCCTCTGCTCTCCATCCACCCCTTCCCCCGCTGGACAGGAGGCAGAGAAATGGGTATGAGCTTGTTTTGTCAGTGATGTCTTGTTACCAGAGAGAAACATGTAATTCATAGAATTCCTGCAAAACAGGGCAGCTGGTTCTGGCTAGTGATAAAAATGTCACTTTTTGCCTTTCCTCTGCAAACCCTTGGTCTGCATTTGTAAACGGCATGTGCGTGTTTTGTCTGGAAAAGTAATCTGGAACTACCAAGTGTTATATGTCCCTCAAAGGAAAAGGGGTTCAAAGGGGAGATAACTACTAAAGCTTGATCAATCCAGTGTTTACTACTCATCCTTTCCTTAGGAATTCACAAGTGCTGCATTTGCTGTGCCAGACAAGTGGTTTAAAGTGATCCTGCTTTGGTTCCTGCAGTTATTCTTGCAGTGAGCTGTGTGTGCCACCCTCCATGCAGGTGTAGTGTGGAGATGATACAGGTAGATGAGATCAATAAGATGATGTACTTTTGGTTCCTGATTTGTGTTACACATTGACATGGAATGAAATTGGAATGTTCTCACTCACTGTCTTAGCAGCTCTAGTCCCAGCAGTTCCCTAAAGAGTAATACACATCACAGCTCAGGAAGGAAAATCTTGGAAATAAAAATCTGAAAAAGACTGGGGAGAAGGGTTAATTGTAGGGATGTGATTTCATTTAAATTTTAACTTAGCTTGAAATAAATATGTGCCAATTAAAAAAAAAAGAAGAAAAGGCAACTGGAAAAATGTAAATTTCAGTTGCAGGACTGCTTGGAAGTTCTGCTAAATTTTGAGTCTTCCCAAGAATAGTAACTCATAATTCTGGCCTCCAATTTGTTGCAGCTAAAAACAATAGCAAGGTAATGAAAACTGTTGAGGTTCATGTTTCAAGTGCCATGGCCTCTCACCACAAGGATTCTGTTCTCTTCAAGCCCTAACTGCTAATAGGGCCCTTGGATCAAGAGAATAAAATGTTTACAGCACTTCACTAGTGGTGCCTCTCACTTCAGGTTTCTCTGAATTTTTTCAGGCATAGCTAAGAGGCCTTTAGGTATTGTCCTGACTCTGCTCTTGATGGAATGCTATTCAGAAAACTTTCCATTCCTGCCCTGATGTTGTTTTGGCATCTCTCTCTGAGAACAGCAGGCAGAGGCTTTTCTGCTGTTCAAGCACCACTTTCTTTTGAATTCAACTTTGATTTTTGCACAGTCAAGTATTTTCTCTGTGTGGTGCTCCATAATTGCTAGAACTGAAGGATTAAAGGAAATTTTGGTGAGGCTGAAGCAATATTTGCACTAGGTACCTGTCTGGTTAGGGTGGCAGACTCAGTTTAGGGCTGCAGCACTTTGTATGGAATTCAGCAGCTCCTCAATGTGTGTTTAAACTCTTATTTGTACACAGACAGCCAGGGACAGGGAATATTTCACTAAGGGTAATGAAGCTTCAGGAAGTGGTAAATTTGTGAAGGGATAGAAGGAAATATATTTGGACAGTTAAAAGCCTGCTGAGACAGTACCCAACATAAATTCAATATCCTGGTGCTCTCCTGCTGCTGCACAAACTGAGCAATGCCCAGTCCTGGATCCACTCTGGATTTGGGAGCAGATTTTGCTCTCAGAACAGCAACTTTTGGTTCAGGTTTCTGCAGTGCCTGCACACAGCTCCTGCTGCAGAGCGCTCGCTGTGAGCACGGGTGCTGCCCTAGAAAAGAAGAAAGGTTTTCTTGCTTAGCTTGTGTTTGTTGAGAGGGAGCTCTTTTTTCACACAGCTTTTGTAGTTTCTCTTTGATCATCTGGAGAGCAGACCTTTGAGTGCACAGCTTTAACAGTGTTTATACTATCCTGACTTATTATTTCAACCTCTGCTGTTGCTGAGGCAATTTGACTAGCAAAGATCATGGTCTCTTTAGTGTCACACCTAATTCAAGCAGGAAACTCTGTCTAGTTTACAGAGCAGTTTGGAGAGTTTTGTGCTTTTGGGCTTTGTTTGTTCGTTCATTTGGGTCTGTTTTGCTTGGTTGATGTGAGTTTTTTGCAAGTTTTGGGTCGGTGTTGGTTGTTTTATTTTGGGTTTTTTTTCCCCCCTGGATGTACCCACAAGACCTTTCTGGCTTGGGTGGGGGTTTGCATGGGTAGAGGCGTTGGCTTGGACTATTTTCTTTTAAACTTGAGTGAAAAAAAGTGAAAATCCAGGAAAGATTTTCCAGTTGCAGAGAGTTTGTCTGGATTTTTAACACACACTTTGGTCCTTCTGCGTGGTGGATTTCTGTTCTCATTTACAAATACATAAAAGAACAGACTGAGCAACAAGATTTTTAAAGGGAACAAGAAAGACATTGAAAATATGGTAAGAACTGAAAAAATCCCAAACCCATTTCCATGAACAATCCAAACAATGTGGATTATGTCCTAACAGGGACATAATAGTCACTGAGTCACATTGACTTCCTGAACCTGTATTTTTTCAGGTAGAGAGAATGAAGGAATATTGATTTTAATATGGATATCATGTATTGATGTCAATGGTCTTTTTCTGTTCTGTAAAATCTTTCTAAACTTGTTTCAACTGGTCAGGTGTAGTACTCTACAAAAACATTCCATTATGCTTTTTTAAGTAGCTGCCAAATTTTTTCGAAGCACCAAAATTACAATGAAAAGTAAATTCACTTTAAACAAAAACCCAAGAAATGCATGAATCAATATTAATATGCCAATAAATACATACAAATATCTATTTGTATTATACTTATATATAAATACAGTTAAGGATCCGGTCCTACTGACTTGTGGTTGACATCAACATCCACCACACTGTTGGATAAAGAGTGAAATCTTGGCTTTGGATAGGCCAGGATTTTAGAAGCCTCTTTTTGTTCTTAGTCTCGACATTTTTACTAGTAAGAAGAACTGAACTGTAACTTTGCTCTGTTCTGTTCTGCAGTAAAATCCCAATTTGTCCCGAATGCCAAGTCTTTGTGTTCAATAGGAATGGTTTCCTTGGTACAAAATCCCCAAAAAACCCTCCATGTTGTCCCCATTAAGTAGGATAGAGAAATAAACAGGAGCTATACCAAACAAACAAAACTCATGTTTTATCAAGCTGACAGTAATTTTGTGCCATCTTGAAGTTTTGGGCTCAAGCAGAGAGCTCTGCCCGCTGTTGGAAGACAAGTGAAGTACAGAGTTTTAAAAATACCTTTCAACTAATTTTTCTTCTCTTCACAAAGGCTTGCAGCAAAAAAATTTTTAGAAAAAAAAAAGTGTATTATCCAGAGTTTCCCACTTTTCCCTGTGTGGACAGGCTGGAGAGGTGGAGGCAGGTGAAGCTCATGGAGCTGAACAGGGCCAGGTGCAAGGTCCTGTCCCCTCCCCGAGACAAGCAGCAGTGGCAGGAGGTACTGGGGGACAAGCTGATTGAGAGATGGAAGAAATCCCCAGCTGGTGTTTTCATATTCCTAGTGTGCTGTCTGGAGGATCCATTTTATGAGCCAGGAAGTCGAGAAAGGTAAAAATGCTCTGTTGATTTGTAGCATCTTTGCTGTTTCTCACCCCTGGGAGAAGCTGACCTTGTTTCAGGAATGTTTTCTCCTCCACATCTGCGTGCTGTTGTGTATTTTGAAGCTTTGATCACCTCTGTTTTCTTTAAAGACAGTGTGGCTTAGACAGGGAGAGGGAGATGTAAAACCAAAGTGCATCAGATCACAGGCATTTTCTGTGCTGCACTAATACCAGAAATTTGAGCCCTTCATGTGAAGGAGTGGCTACAGAGGAATCCCAAGGATGTAATCAAAAGCCACGCAGGCTGTTATTCGTAGGTAATGGGCAAAAATACAGATGCACTCGGTGCTCACAAGTTCCATTTCCAGCATTTCTCTTTCATGCAGTAGTTATCTCTGCCTTTGGATTCTTAAGATCTCTTTGAGTACAACAATGAAAGTAAAAAAAGTGGTGTTCATCTCAAGGTCACTTTGGTACTTGAGAGCAGCTGCCCTCCAAAGAGCACATAATGAATAGTTTTATTACCTTTTGGTTGGTTTTCCCTACGTGCTGTGGATTGCTTCATATGCTATCAGCTCATTTCTCCTTTGCTTTTTTTGCTTTTTTTTCCCTCTGAACTACTACTTTCTACAACTGTTTTCATCATTGTTAAAAATCACTTCTATAGCACCATAAATTACAGCCACTTTACAAGCACGGAGTAAGATACTTCCTTTGCCCCAAATACTTTATGGTTCAGATACATCCTTGATATCTGGTGTACCTTTTTTTATTTAACACACTGCCTGGGAATTTTAAGGTAGATTGCATTAATCTCCTGT